TGTCCTCATTCCGTTCCCTAGCCATCACCTGCCATGAAATTACTTATCTACTTCCTGTCACTATAAAACAGTTTGCTTTTCTTAGATTTTTTTTCATTTCTTAGTCTTTAAAAAAAATTAATTAATTTTTACCCATTTTTACCCAGTGTTTACTTTTTAATTTAGCATAATTATTTTTATGTTTATGTTACAGATGTCAATTAACTTTTCCCCTTTTTTATTGTTGAGGAGTATTCCTCCATTTGTTCATCCACTGCATTATATATTTTACTTTTTAATTATAAACTCCTTCAAAAAAAGCTGGGGTAAACATTTGTGCACACATTTTTATGTGAATATTTATGTTTAACTTCTCCTGAGTAAATAAATGCCTCAGAATGGCTGGGCCATATGGAAGGTGTATGTTAGACATTTTAAGAAATTGTCAAAATTGTTTTCCAAAATGCTTTAAACAATTTACATTCTTACCAAGTAAAAAAATCATCCTGGATTGTCACCAACATTTAGTATTGTCATTTTGTAGGCATCCCAGTGAAAACGTAGTAGCAGCTCATTTTGCTTTTAACTTTTCCCCCTCGTAGCCAGTGATAGTGAGAATCTTCTCATGTGTGTATTTGCTGTCACTGTCTCTTCTCTGGTTAAGTATGTTAAAATCTTTTGCCCATTTTAATTAAAAAAACCTGTTTTTTATTATTAAATTTTGAGAGCTCTTTATGTATGCTAGATGTAAGTCCTTTATTAGAGATTTGTGTGTTATTTGTAAATATTTTCTCTCACCCTTTGGCTCGTCTTTTTGTTCTGTTAACATTTTTTTGAAGAGCAGTTCTTAATTTTCATGAAGTCTACAGTTTATCCTTTTATGAGTTATGCTTCTGATGTATATAAATGGTATATTTAAGAAATCTTCATCTAGTGTCAGCTCACAGATTCCCCCCCAGAAGTTTTAGTTTTATATCTTACACTAATATCAGTGTTCTATTTTTTAATAATATTTTTAATATGGTAGGAGCTACTGATAAAAGTCCTCTTCTCTCTGGACGTGGATATTCAGACTTTATGGATCATTTTTGCATGTTATATTCATATGTATATTAGGATACTCCACTCTTATGGATAATTTTTGCATATGATATCCATATGGATATGGATATTCCATTACTACAAAACCATTTGTTAAAGACTATCTGCCATCCAGTGAATTGTCTTTGTATTAAATTGGTTCATCATTAATATATAGGGGTCTATTTATGGACCCTTAATTCTGCTTCATTAATTTATGTATCTGTCCTTTTGCTAGTACTACACTGTCTATATTACTTTTGTTGATTTTTTTTTTTAAACTCTGGTATTGGAACTGACTGAAGCTCACCCTCCAACAAGGTTTCAGAGGCAGTTAATTCCACAGGAGGAAATGTCTCATCTTTTTTCCTCAGAGCAGCTGGATTCAAACAGCATACCTTTCAGTTGCCAGCACAACTCCTTACTGCTAGGCCACCAGAGAGAATAGTAGGGAGCTCTGGTGGCTTAGTGGTAAGGAATTGCACTGCCAAGGTAAAAGTGTATGGTTCAAATACACTGACTGCTCCGATGGAGGAAGATGGGCAATTTCTCATGAATTATTAATTAATCTCTGAAAAACCCATGGAGGGCCAGCTATATAATTACTATAATGCTATAGTAAGTCTTGAAGTAAAGAAATTTGAATACCCTTTTTTTAGAAATGTAAGATTTTAAATGTTATGTTTGTATAAAATTTTGTTTGGCTAATGTTTCCTATTTCCATATGAATTTAGAATCAGCCTGTTAATTTCTCAGCAAAATCTAAAATATACCACAATTTTAAATGGGATTATTTTGAATCTACAGGCTAATTTAGGAGACTATCAAGTCATCTGACTCTTGAGTATAATACATCCCTCCATTTTATTACACTTTTAAATTTCTCTCAACAGTGCACTGTAGTTTTCAGTGTATGGGTATTACACAAATTTTTTGTCAAACCTGTCGCTAAGAATTTCACATTTCTAGTTGGAAAATAAGAGAGACATTATTCTCATGGCCTCTGCAATACTTCTGAAAATCTAAAATTATTCCCAAACAGTTTCTTTAAACAAATTTGCCCAACTGTTGAAGTATCCAAACTGGAAGATTTTCTCCAATGTAATTCAGTCAGGTGAATGAGGCGGTTAGCTGAATTTGGTGGCTAGTTGGGTTGATGCAATATTAGGAGAACCAAGCTGGATTTTATATTCCTGATATTTATGTGGTCACTCCCAGGGTTCTCTTTGCTACAAATGCCACCTCCTCTGTTTTACAAAAGGTAACTCAGCCCTTCCTGCCCCCTCTCCCAAATTCCTTTGTATATTCCATAGAATAGACTTTGGAATTTAAGAAGAGCACTGTGAGCTGAGGGAGGGGTGCATATTCAGACACTGGAGGGGAAATCTGGTCATTAAAACCTGTTTGTTTGGTTTTTTATGGAGGGCAGGCACTTTTATCTACTACTACTACTACTACTACTACTACTACTACTACTACTACTACTACTACAGCTCCCTGAATTCTAAATGAACATGGAGGACAGAGCCCTGCCGGGTACAGTTCCTCATCATCAGCGGTGAATGAAGAGAATCAAGAGAGAAGCCGTCCACATCCTGGTGCCATTCATTCCACTCTGTCGCCTGGGAGCTTTCCTTGGGAAACTTCTAGAACTCCAGAAAAGGGAAAGAGATTGAGTGGAAAGAAAAGCCTAACAGGTATCATGATGTAGTGGAAAAAGCTGTATTCTAGGAGTCAAGAGACCACTTTAAATCCTGGCTTTGTCACCACTTCACTGGTGGCCTAGGCCAAATCACTTTCACTCTATAAAATGAGGAGTTGAACTATATAATCCTCCAAGCATATAGTATAGTGCCTAATGCATACTAAGGGTACAGGGAAAGATGTGAATTGTTAATAAATAAATAAAATAATGAGTGAAAGAAATGCTAGAAAAATTAAAGGACCCAAAATGAAGTTCCCAGTCATGACTGATGGGTGGCATAACCTCTCTACATAACCACAAGAGGGTGTTGTAGTCTCAAATCAAGGGACAGAATGTAAATGAGAAAGAAACCAAGGTTAAAAAAAGAAGAAATGGTGTGGGCCTGCTCTTTCAAATGAATAGATGACCCCTGGAATTCTGGCCCAGCTTCTTTTCTCCAAGTCAAGAAAACTAAATCCAAAACCTTAGCCAGGAGCTCTGGTGGCATAGTCGGTAGTGAACTATGTTTCTAACCCAAAGTGTTCATTTCACTACTAGACTGGCAAGGGGTCGTGGGTGGGTTGACAAATAGACATGGCCCAGGGTGGTGGATGACTGGCACAGAGTTACACAGGAGCAGTGCAAACAGCACGGACATTACTGTGCTAAATACCCTCCTCCTGCTACTAAAAACAAACAAACAAAACAAAACAAATCCATCCAGCCATCCAGATTGGAACCCTCTGCACTCTGGGTCTCTTTCTGAGTTCATCAGACCTACCACTGATTTATTATCCTGAAAGCTCTCTTCTCCCACAGACCTCTAAGGAAACTGGACATCATTAGCCCACCAAGGGCAGGAAGGTGTTGAGTTAATGTGAGAATTCCTGAACAAGCCTTACCCTTTTGTCTACTCAAGGAACTCTGGTGGTATAACTGGTTAAGCATTGGGCTGGTAAGGGAAAGACTGGCAATTTGAACCACCAGCCACTCCTCCTGAGAAAAGAGGAGGCAGCCTCTTCCCGTCTTAGAAACCTGATGGAGTGTTGCCTTGAGTCAGAATGGACTCAGTGGCAGTGGGCTTGGCTTCCCCCACCCATCTTTCTTATTTTACATTATTACTTCTGCAGTGGGTATGGTTATAGATGCAGAAGGGAGGCATATTATTTTCCAGGAGTGTGATCATGGCGAGACAGGATGAGGCGTGGCTAGGGTGTATCCCGGGAGCCTGAACTCTGAAATAGAGTTGTGTTGGACGGCAGAGTCAGGATATCTTTGTTCTCTCGCTCCAAGACTAGAGCAGGAAAGGGTGAAAGGCGGCCAGAGCCATGGAGGTTGGTAGGACTGCTTGGTCAAGAGCAGAAACGGAACCGAAGGCCTGGGCCAGGTCCATTCAGGTCCTCACAGACCATGTTCCCGGTGGGGAGGCAACAGGAAGCTGTGACTTCCTCCCCTTTCTCTCCCTGCCCTGAGCCTCAAGGTCACTTGTTGTAGAGATTAATTCCAACCTGTGTTTTAGTTGGCACTGTTCCCTGGGCATGTTAATAGCTGGTCTGTACCAGCTCTCTCCTCCTCAAAACATAAGCTTCTCCTTGAAATTATACTTATTCATGCAAATAATGACATAAATGCACAAAGTGCATTTTTTTCCCCACACGTATTGTCTCATTTCTTTACACCAGCCCTGTGAAGTAGACTTGGTTTTGTTTTTTAAATAGGAAAAAAGCAAGCAAGGAAATGAGGGCTCAGAGGAGTGGCAACCCACAGAGCTACACAGTTAATGAGTAGCAATGTCTGGAACTCCACACTTCTCTTTCCTTGAAAGACACTCATTCTAATTCTCTGTGTGCCCCTCTAGGCCTCATCCCTTAGGTCCCTGATGAAAATTTTCTGCAGAAAGGTAGTCTCTTAGAAAAAATAGGAGACTCTAGCTTTACTGGTATGGAACCTAGGAGTTGCATCCAGAGAAAAAGCATCTCTCTTTTTCTCTTTCTGTAGCATATTGCCCTTCTCATCTACCCCTCCCCCCCCACGAAGTAGGACTCCCCTCGCTCTGCCCCACCCACCACCAATCACAGCAGAGAAGGGGCAGGTTGTCCCATCCACACCCCTCCCTCTGAGGTGTGGGCGTGAGCTGCGTGAGGCCCCAAGAGAGGAGTTCATATCTAGAACCTCCTGGTGTCCCCTGCCAGTCTCCAGGGCTGGCAGGTGCCTTCAGGCCCCTCTACCTGGTACTACTGACCTTTGATGCCCTGCGATGCCCACACCCAATGCCTCTGCCCCTCTTCTCACACCCTCCTGTGTCAACACCTCTGGAGTCAGCGTGCTAAGTGGTGATGATGCGGCAGCTCCTGTTGATTCCCTGGCCTTGAGGGTCGTAGTCGCCCTGGCCTATGGACTCGTGGGGGCCACCGGCTTGCTGGGAAATCTTGCTGTATTGTGGGTACTGGGTGGCTGTGCTCAGAAGGCCTCTCGCCTGTCTTCTGACACCTTCGTCTTCAACCTGGCTCTGGCGGACCTGGGGCTAGCCTTCACTCTCCCCTTCTGGGCAGCGGAGTCAGCGCTGGACTTCCACTGGCCCTTTGGAGGTACCCTCTGCAAGGTGGTCCTGACAGGCACTGTCTTCAATGTCTACGCCAGCATATTCCTCATCACGGCACTGAGTGTGGCCCGCTACCGGGTGGTGGCCATGGCTACAGGCCCTGGTACCCACCTCTCACTATTCTGGGCTCGTGTGGCTACCCTGGCAGCATGGGTGGTGGCTGCCCTGGCGACGGTGCCCACGGCTGTCTTTGGGGCCGAAGGTGAAGTGTGGGGCGTGCGCCTGTGTCTGCTCCGCTTTCCTAGCAGGTACTGGCTGGGGGCTTACCATCTGCAGAGGGTGCTGCTGGCCTTCGTAGTACCTTTGAGCATCATCACCACCAGCTACCTGCTGCTGCTGGCCTTCCTGAAGCGACGACCGCGGCAATGGAGAGAAAACAGGGTGGTGTCCCATTCTGTCCGTGTTCTGGTGGCCTCCTTCTTCCTCTGCTGGTTCCCCAACCACGTGGTCACTCTCTGGGGAGTCCTGGTGAAGTTTGACCTGGTGCCTGGGGACCGTACTTTCTACGCACTCCATACCTACGTTTTCCCTGTTACTACTTGCCTGGCACACAGCAACAGCTGCCTCAACCCTGTGCTGTACTGTCTCCTAAGGCGGGAACCCCGGCGGGCCCTGCTGGACATTTTCAGGAATCTGCGAGAGAGGCTGTGGGCCCGGGACCAGGGCTGTGCGGAGCAGGTGGCCCTTAAGGAGGTAGGAAGGCAGTGGGCAGTAGACACTCCCCAGACTGAGTCCTCCACCATGGTCACCAACTTGGATAAGGGGATATCTGAGTACAGGAGTCCAAGCTGAATGCCCCTCCTTTTCCCAGGGCCTGTCAGGGGTTAGGACCCAAGCATTCCGAGAAGCCCACCCCTTTGATGGCTGGAGTGCCTGCAAGGAAAAACTCATCTTTGATTCCTGATTTCTGAGGGCGCTCAGAGAAGGGAGGCCAAAACCCGTCTGAGATGGGCATGACAAAACTTGTCTCCATTTAGGTGGAGAATTTGAAAATAAACATCTAAATTGTCCAGACTGTCTTGACCTTTTGATCTCACCACTAACTCCTAAATAAAGGACTCCCAGTCACATTTTTACTTCCTGAAAGCCTTTTAGGGGATTTCTCCCAAGGGTCTAGGCTAATGAATCAGAGGACAGGGTCTACTTCCCTCATTTCTTCTCGCCTCTACCTCTACGTCAAAATCCATCAATAGCACCACAGAAAGTTGGCACCTGCAGAGGCCTCATCTGAAAAACCTGTAGTTTTCTTGCAAGGAGATAACACGTGGGGTGTTTACTGGAATCCTGGCACCTGCTCAACTCTGGATATAATGTCCTGGTGCTGCTGGCTAGGAGTACTCATCTTTCCTTAAATCAGGATTGAAAGGGAGATGTGGAGAGAATTTAGGGCCTGGGCGAGATGAAGAGATGAGAAACGGGTTGGGAGAAGAGGTTGAAGGTAAAGCAAGTAATGTGGAAATCACACAAAGATGGTGCTACTGGTCTTCCTCCTTACACCAAGGGCATAGCTGACTTAGGTGACAGAACATCTGGATTCACATCCTAGCTCTGATACTAATTAGCTGAGGGACTGTGCTCAAGTTTTCTTGTCAATAAAATCTGTTGTGAAGATTAAACTGCTTGAACTCTAGTGATATTCTGTCAAGTGCCCTCGAGTAGACTGTGACTCATAGCAACCATATGAACAATACCTCTGAACCTTGCCCTGTCCTGAGCCAATCTCACTGACTCCCGACACACCTAATTCCATTGCCACAGGTCACCGTGTCAACCCATCTCATCCGGGTCTTCCTGTCCTGCATTGTCCCTCCAACCTTCCAAGCATGATGTCCTTCTCCAATAACCAGACCCACTGGGCAACATGCCCAAAGTATGTGAGATGGAGCTTCAAAATCCTTGCCTTCCAAGGAGCAACCTGATTTCACCCTCTCCAGGACAGACCTGTTGTGATTTTTTTTTTCTTGGCTATCCATGGTATGCTCAATACTCTTCTCCAGCACCAAAACTCAAAGGCATAGATTCTACCAGAACATAAAACCTGTTGCCGTGAAGTCAACCTCAACTCACAGCAACCTGTTAAGAGAACTGCTTCATAGGTTTTTCTTGGCTACAGTCTTCATACAAGCAGATTGCCAGGCCTTCTGTTGTGTTTCTGGCTGGGCTCAAATCAAGATTTAGGCTAACTACTGTTATTGTTATGTGCCATTGAGTTGCCTCTGACTTATCACGACTCTGTACATTAGCTCTGAGGCCTGCCCGATCCTGAGCGAATCTCATCATCTCCAACAGACCTAAACCCATTTCTCCAGTCACTGTGTCAATCCATCTCATCCTGGGTTTTTCTCTCCTGCACTGTCCCTCCAGCCTTCCAAGCACAACGTCTCTCTCTAACTGGTCCCTCCTGGTCACATGCACAAAGTATGTGAAACGGGAGCTTCAAAATCCTTGCCTCCAAGGAGTAGCCTGGTTTCACCCTAAGAAAGACCTGTTTGTTCTCCTGGCAGTCCCCGGTAAGAGTTCAACACTCTTCTCCAGCACCACAACTTAAAGGCATCTATTCTTCTATCATCCTTAGTTACTGTCCAGCTCTCAGATGCATAGCAAGTAATTGAGAATAACATGGCCTGCGTCAGGCGCACCTTAGTCTCCAGACTGATATTGCTGCTCTTTAGCGTTCTGAACTGCTAGTGCCAAGAGTGATGATTGTGGAGCCAAGCAAAGCTGAAGTTATAAACAATCTCAATCTCTTCTCTGATCATCAGGAAGTTGCCAACTGGCTCAGTGGTGAGATCTTAGTTTTCCTGATGTTGAGCTTCAGTCCATATTGAAGACTACAATCCTTGGCCTTCGGCTGCAAATGTCTCATGTCCTCTTCAGGTTCAGCAAGCAAGGTGTGTCATCTGTATAATGCAGATTGTTGATGAGTCTTCCTCCAATCCTGATGTCACATTCTTCCTGATCAAGTCCAGCATCCTGAATGATCTGTTCTGCATACAGATTGAAAAGATATGTAGACAGGACACATCCCTTACACACACCTTCCCTGCTCTGTTGGGACTGCTGCTTCCTGGTCCAAGTACAGATTTCACTTGTGCACAATTAAGTGTTCTGGGATTCCCATTCTTTTCAAGGTTTGCCACAATTTGTTGTGATCCACACAGTCAAATGGCTGGGCTAAAATCACCAAACTTTAGGCCAATAGTTGAGAAAAACCATTTGTCGGCCCACAACCCTGGGACCTTATTTTCACACCTCTTGTAAAACAGAAAAGGAAGAAATAAGAGGGCAGCTAGCCATTATGAAGTTCCCTTCTGGAATAGTTTTTATGTTCTCTGGAGTAAAATAAGCATCTAATGTAAATAGAGCGACTGGTCCCTCAAACTCTACTTGAAAGTGTATTCAAAACTCCCGTTTGGTTTCCATATCCTCAGAGATCCAGCAATGATAAAGGTTACACATGAGAGGAGACTTTGGGGGAAGTCAGCCCCTGGGAGGAGAGTGGAGAAGCAACTTGCACTGTTCCAGTGGACACGCTCTTTGGCATGCCTGTAACCCAAGAGGACTCTGGTCACTCAAGATTCCAAGGCACCAGGTGGATTCTGCTGGAAATCTCAGGCTCTGAACTCAATTTAAGCCAAGTTAAAGATATTTCATTAGCTTCTGGATGCTTTATTTCCTCTTTTTGATAATGTTTAAGCTGGTTCAAAAACTCCAGGTCTGTTCCCTGCCAGTTCAGGAAGATGGAAAATCCTCCTCCACCTAAGTGCCATCTTCCCACCCCTGCCCCCCGCAGCTCCCGGGCCGGCCTCACTCAAATCCGGATATTGGCTCCTCTGGGGGGGGGCATCTCTGTTTTATGGGGCTCAGAGGTAAATATTGACAGAGTCTAAACAGGCCCAAGTTAGAGATGAATGAATGCTCTGAGACCTCCCCTTAAGGGGAGCATATAGGGAAAGAGGTACTCATTGGAGGGCTGGGCATGGCTGGCCAGAACACAGGCCATTCATACTGGAGCTCCTCTAAATGGAAAGGCCAGGCGGTAGAGAGAAGGCTGAGGACCACAGAGCCAGAGCTTTGAAACAGCATTAAGGACGGAGGTTAAGACTGAATTTCCCAGCAGAATGGTGAAAAACGTGATGGAGACTTATCTCTCACCAATAGCCACATCAGAGAAATTCTTAAATGTGTATTGGTGCCGAGCATGAGCAGATTCTGGTAAACATGTGGCAGGAGGAATGGTGCGCCTGGGGAAAAGCTGCGCTTTGCGCTTCTATCCACCTCTATGGGATCTGTATCTTCCAGGTTCCTAGAGCGTCATCCTTCCTCAGATCTGGGTGAGACTGTCAGGGGCGCCTGCACCTCCTTCCCTGGTGATCTCCGGATACTCAGAAGTCCTCCACATTTCACTCTAACTTGTCTTTCTCCTCCATTCCACCCTCACAGCGGTGGGGCCCAGATGCTACCAGCTATCAAGGCAGACAGCTGCTGGGCCTCTTAATGTGAGTTCACAACTGGGCACTCTGGTGGCACAGCCCATAGGGAGCTGTGCTGCTAACCCAAACGCCACACCCTCTGCGGCTCTGAGACAGTAAGATGGGCATTCATCTCCCATGAAACTAGCTTGAGGGTCAGCTAGGAGTCTGTTCCAACTTGGCAGCAATGAATTTTTGAGAGATGATGAAAGGATGTAGAGAGTTGAAATCAGGACTGCTCCCTTCAAGGCTAACTTATCCAAGCTTACCTGTCTTAAAACAAGAACAATCTGTACCTCATAGGATTCCCGTAGGGAAAGAGGGAATTCACCGCTATTGTTTCTCACTCCCAGTGACACTATAGGACAGAGCAGAACCAAAGGGCTAAATCTTTTCTGGAAGCAGATGGCCATATCTTTCTCCCGTGGAGAGGCTAGTGCACTCAAACGACCAACTTTTTGGCTAACAGCCGAGCTCTTTAGCCTCTGTGTCACTGGTAGGTTCCTTATAAAGGCTGGTAGATGAGTTGTTGTTGTTGTTATGTGCCGTCGAGTCGTTTCCGACTCATAGCGACCCTATGCACAACAGCCCTAAACCCTGCTCTATCCTGCGCCAA